AATTAAAAAAAATTATCAAAAATCATTAGATTTTGCATTTTTCAGCTATATTAACTCAATGTAACTGAAAAATAATTTTTTTTTCAAAAATAATTAATTTTTAACAATTTTTGAAAATTTTGAAAATTTTGAATTTTTTCAAAAATTAAAAAAAATTATCAAAAATCATTAGATTTTGCATATTTCAGCTATATTAACTCAATGTAACTAAAAAATAATTTTTTTTTCAAAATTAATTAATTTTTAACAATTTTTGAAAATTTTGAAAATTTTGAATTTTTTTCAAAAATTAATAAAAATTATCAAAAATCATTAGATTTTGCATATTTCAGCTATATTAACTCAATGTAACTGAAAAATAATTTTTTTTTCAAAAATAATTAATTTTTAACAATTTTTGAAAATTTTGAATTTTTTTCAAAAATTAATAAAAATTATCAAAAATTATTAGATTTTGCATTTTTCAGCTATATTAATAAAAATTATCAAAAATTATTAGATTTTGCATTTTTCAGCTATATTAACTCAATGTAACTGAAAAATAATTTTTTTTTCAAAATTAATTAATTTTTAACAATTTTTGAAAATTTTGAATTTTTTCAAAAATTAAAAAAAATTATTAAAAATCATTAGATTTTGCATTTTTCAGCTATATTAACTCAATTTAACTAAAAAATAATTTTTTTTTCAAAAATAATTAATTTTTAACAATTTTTGAAAATTTTGAATTTTTTCAAAAATTAAAAAAAATTATCAAAAATCATTAGATTTTGCATTTTTCAGCTATATTAACTCAATGTAACTGAAAAATAATTTTTTTTTCAAAAATAATTAATTTTTAACAATTTTTGAAAATTTTGAATTTTTTCAAAAATTAAAAAAAATTATCAAAAATCATTTGAATTTGTATTTTTCAGCTATATTAACTCAATTTAACTAAAAAATAATTTTTTTTCAAAAATAATTAATTTTTAACAATTTTTGAAAATTTTGAAAATTTTGAATTTTTTCAAAAATTAAAAAAAATTATCAAAAATCATTAGATTTTGCATTTTTCAGCTATATTAATAAAAATTATCAAAAATTATTAGATTTTGCATTTTTCAGCTATATTAACTCAATGTAACTGAAAAATAATTTTTTTTTCAAAAATAATTAATTTTTAACAATTTTTGAAAATTTTGAAAATTTCGAATTTTTTCAAAAATTAAAAAAAATTATCAAAAATCATTAGATTTTGCATTTTTCAGCTATATTAACTCAATGTAACTGAAAAATAATTTTTTTTTCAAAAATAATTAATTTTTAACAATTTTTGAAAATTTTGAAAATTTTGAATTTTTTCAAAAATTAAAAAAAATTATCAAAAATCATTAGATTTTGCATATTTCAGCTATATTAACTCAATGTAACTAAAAAATAATTTTTTTTTCAAAATTAATTAATTTTTAACAATTTTTGAAAATTTTGAAAATTTTGAATTTTTTTCAAAAATTAATAAAAATTATCAAAAATCATTAGATTTTGCATATTTCAGCTATATTAACTCAATGTAACTGAAAAATAATTTTTTTTTCAAAAATAATTAATTTTTAACAATTTTTGAAAATTTTGAATTTTTTCAAAATTAATAAAAATTATCAAATTATTAGATTTTGCATTTTTCAGCTATATAATAAAAATTATCAAAAATTATTAGATTTTGCATTTTTCAGCTATATTAACTCAATGTAACTGAAAAATAATTTTTTTTTCAAAATTAATTAATTTTTAACAATTTTTGAAAATTTTGAATTTTTTCAAAAATTAAAAAAAATTATTAAAAATCATTAGATTTTGCATTTTTCAGCTATATTAACTCAATGTAACTAAAAAATAATTTTTTTTTCATAAATAATTAATTTTTAACAATTTTTGAAAATTTTGAATTTTTTCAAAAATTAAAAAAAATTATCAAAAATCATTAGATTTTGCATTTTTCAGCTATATTAACTCAATGTAACTGAAAAATAATTTTTTTTTCAAAAATAATTAATTTTTAACAATTTTTGAAAATTTTGAATTTTTTCAAAAATTAAAAAAAATTATCAAAAATCATTTGAATTTGTATTTTTCAGCTATATTAACTCAATTTAACTGAAAAATAATTTTTTTTCAAAAATAATTAATTTTTAACAATTTTTGAAAATTTTGAAAATTTTGAATTTTTTTCAAAAATTAAAAAAATGATCAAAAATCACTAGATTTTGCATTTTTCAGCTATATTAACTCAATGTAAATGAAAAATAATTTTTCTTTCAAAATTAATTAATTTTTAACAATTTCTGAAAATTTTGAAAATTTTGAATTTTTTCAAAAATTAAAAAAAATTATCAAAAATCATTAGATTTTGCATTTTTCAGCTATATTAACTCAATTTAACTAAAAAATAATTTTTTTTTCAAAAATAATTAATTTTTAACAATTTTTGAAAATTTTGAAAATTTTGAATTTTTTCAAAAATTAATAAAAATTATCAAAAATCACTAGATCTTGCATTTTTCAGCTATATTAACTCAAATTAACTAAAAAATAATTTTTTTTTCAAAAATAATTAATTTTTAACAATTATTGAAAATTTTGAATTTTTTTCAAAAATTAATAAAAATTATCAAAAATCATTAGATTTTGCATTTTTCAGCTATATTAACTCAATGTAACTGAAAAATAATTGTAGGATTGAACGAACTTACCTTAAGTGAAGATCAATCCAAATTATATGAGCTGTCTCGTCCGAATAGATCATTACTTTGTAGTACCGTGGTACTGCTCGTTCCGTCACAGTATTTTAAATCCCTGAGATTTTTCGCGCCGCCTGCAGGTGTCGCCCTAGCTCTACTTCCTGCTCTCGTCATTATATTTCAAAGTTTGGCAGAAATCGCACAGGGGATTTAAGGGTAGGGTGGGTGTGATCTATTCGGACGAGACAGCTCATATAATTTGGATTGATCTTCACTTAAGGTAAGTTCGTTCAATCCTACAATTATATTTCACTGTCTCGTCCTCTAGATCATTACTTTGTAGTTGTTTAAAGTTGTAGTGCGTATTTATGCTGTATACCATTATATTTATATTTCGTTATACAACCAGAGATGAAATAGTATTAATTGAAAAAATAAAATCATGTAAAATGCTAACATTTTCAAAACAAAAAAAAAAAAAAAATTTGTGTTGGAAAGATAGATATCAATCATTGTAAAATTGACGATGCAAAAGTGGTTGTATTTGCAATAGGCCGATTATAAAATCTGGCAAAAACAGACGATGAAGATGACCATCCTGCTGCTCGGCGAATAACCTCTATATTTACACCTTTCCGGGCTGCAGCTGATGTACTCGCATGACGCGTGCTTTGAGCCGAGAAAATCGTGGTATCTATTCCGCTTTTTTCTAACGTAACTCTAATCCATCGGCTTATAGTTTGCGATGAAGCCTGGTGATGAGGTTTTTTATATGTAATAAATAAATGACCCTTGTCTCGATTGCCCGGTCTCAGCGCTCTAGTTTTTGTAATATAAGTACGTAGAACTGTCGCCACACATAATTCCGGTTTTTCTGAAAATGAAGGAATTTCTAAAATTGGTTGAAATTCGCTTCGTCCTGACGTTTTGATCGGTTCGGTGATTTTTATGCGAAGCGGTTCTTTTTCTAGGTTGATATTCTGTATATCAATCGCCGTTAGTGTTTGAATACGTTGTCCAGTAATCAGGGCTAGTAGAGTGACTAATTTTTTAGTCAGTGCTTCAAGAGAAAGTCCTTCATGTGGATACCATGTAGCTAATTCGTCGAGAACTTCTTTAGGGTCCCAGGTGACGTCATATTTATATTTCTTTGGTTTCAGCTTCGCTAAACCTTTAAAAAATCTCGACACAGTCGTATTAGAGCCCAATTCATTCCCAGAAATGAGAGACAGAGCTGCTCTGTATGTATTAGCCGTGCTGAATGACTTGACGTTCTCTAGGATTCCCGAAAAAAATTTGAGTACATGTGCTGTTGAAGTTTCGCAAAAACTAATCCCTTCTTTACGGCAGTACTCCCGCCACTCCCTGATAGGTTTGTCGTACTGTCGCCACGTGGCCTCGGAAATAGATTTCATCATGACCTCTGTTGCCTCTTGAGTAGCGCCTCTCATTTGAAAAGCACTCCGGACAATCGAGCGGCTGTCAAGGAAAGCGTTTGATGTAGAGGATGAATCCGCCTGTGAGGAGAAGACAACAGATTAACACTAGGTTTAAATTTAATAGGTTCTGATATTGCTAGAGACAAGAAGAGCGGATACCAAGGTTGTGTCGGCCATTCAGGCACTACTACAACCCCTTCCGCGCCGTCAACTTGAATCTTTTGCAAAACTTGTAAAATGATGGAGAACGGAGGAAAGGCATAAAATTTGTAACCTTCCCAATTCAAAGTGAATGCGTCTATTTTGATAGAGTCCGGATCTCTATGCCAAGAAACGTAAGTTTCACATTTTGCATTTGCCCGTGATGCAAAAAGGTCAATGTCAAACTGTCCGAATTGTCTCTTAATTTTAGTGAATGCCCATGAGGCCAGTTCCCACTCTGTCTCCATGGGAAGATGTCGTGATCCCTCGTCTGCCTCTTTATTTTCTTTTGAAGGTAAATACGAGGCATGGATCCAAAGATCTCGTTCTTCACACCAGGTCCATATTTGTCGAGAAAGCTGTGTCAGTCTTGGGTATTGAATGCCCCCCATTTTATTCACATACGCGATGGAAGTTTTATTGTCCATCCGTAATAAAATTTCGCAACTGCGGTCAGTTTCGACAAAACATTTCAGGCCCATGAAGGCAGCTAAAAGTTCAAGAGAGTTTATATGGAGCTTACGTTCCTGATCATTCCACAAGCCATGAGCTTTTTCTCCTTCGCAGAAAGCTCCCCAGCCTGACAGAGAAGCATCCGTGAAAACTTCTCTTTTAAATCTCAGTTCTCTGATTGGGTTGTGAGATTCTGAACTTTTCCGCAACCACCACTCAAGGTCCGATTTAACGATATTTGAGAGAGTAATGTTAGCTCTGTAATTATTGTTCGATTTTGCGAGAGATAGAAATTTCTCTCGTTCTAATCTTTTGGTGTACAGCCATCCATACTTGACTGCAGGACAAGCTGCTACCAGCGAACCGATGAGTTGAGCTAATTCCTCAATTTTGCAATTTGGATTGTTCAGGAACTTTGACACATGCTGAAAAATGGAAATTCGTTTATTTTCCGTTAATTCTAATCGGAACTTCCTACTGTCGAGAATAAAACCCAAGAATGTACATCGTTGACTTGGCTCAAGTTGGCTTTTCTTTTCGCTTATGATAAAGCCTAAAGATTCTAATAATTGACGTGTAACTGAGATGTGTCTATAACATTCGTCTTTCGACCTTGCTATAATAAGAATGTCGTCTAAATACACGACCATTATGATGCCCTGGCTTCTAAGTTTTTGAATTACAGGTTTAAGTAGTTTTGTAAAAACGAACGGGGCGGTACAGAGACCAAACGGAAGGCACTGGAACTCAAACGTTTCTCCCCTGAAAATAAAACGTAGAAACTTACGATGTTCCTCAGTTACGGGGACCATGAGGTATGCGTCAGTGAGGTCCATGACTGCCATGTGGTAATCTCTGTTTAAAAGTCGAAGAGCTGTTTTCATATCCTCTAATTTAAAATGAGAGGTTGAAATAAACTCATTCAATTTTTTCAGATTAAGAATAAAGCGGTCGTCCCCGTTTGATTTTGGCCTCAAAAAATAGGAAGACAAGAATTGCCCTTCACATGGTTGACATCGAGTGACAGCAGCAAGTTTTATAAGGTTTTGAATTGCTTTCAGTGTTTTTATTTCTTTCTCAGCTGATAGCGAGGGTGAAAATGCAATTGCTCCTTGAAAGGGCAGACTGCTGAACGGTATATTATACCCTGAGACGCAATTCATTATGAATGGATCATTTGAAACTTTCCTCCATTCTCTTATAAAAAACTTAAGGCGGCCTGCCGTTTGACTTACCTCTAATGTTTCCGATGGTATGGCTGTTGTCGCTGGTACCGAGATGGTTGACGCCCCCCCTCTTGGAGTTCGAGTGTGCTGAGTTCTTCTTGGCGGGGGCTTTCCAGTTTAAATGAGTCTTTGTAAAAAACGTCTCAGGATGTTTTTCCTTATTGGTTGAGACTCCCTTCGAATTGCCGGGAAGATGCTTCGTGATGTCTTTGCCAGTTTTTTCACACTCTTTGGCCGATTTCAATTTTTCGCCAAGCGTGTTGCCAAATAACCAGGTGTCCACACCAGTTTCATCAGCAATTGTTTTTAGTCGTAGACTGAATGACGGTGTGATGAATGACCTACGAGTAAGAGATAGAGTGTGCTGCAAGTCTGTTAAAATCTTACCTACATCAGACATTATTTCAAAAACATTAGAAATTTCCTTGTCATCTATTTTCTTGGCTTCAAGTAACGTTGTGAGGACTTCACCGACAGCACTAGTGGCTGCTCCGAGCTGAATTTGTGCAGCTACTTGATATTGGTCTTTTTTAATTGCCGAAGAGCTCATAACCGATTTAATTTCGGGATTTAGTTTGGGTGCTCCCATCGTGGGGCAATTTTCCGCCGGTTGAAATTTTTTAATTAATTTTGTTTTCGCGTCCTTCGGGAGACCTGATTCCAGGATTTTTGACCACATTCCAGCTATATTATTATGAATAGCCTTGCCATATGTTATTTCATCGGCAGCGCCATCTCCTAACAACTTCAGAAGCTCTTCTTCGTTTTTTGTCGGTAATTTCTCGGCATCTTTTGTCGCTGTTTTATTGGTTCCGTTAGTCGATAATTTATCGACTCTACTATTTTCGAGCCTTATGTCCTTCGGAGGTCCATTTTGGCGTTCATCACGAGTCCTGGACCTGGACCGACTACGAGAACCATATGACGCACCTCGCGGGTTACGCACTATATTATTATTTTCGCCAGACGTTTCTCTCGGAGAACGCTCTAGGCTATGTCGTGAAAAGCTCTCAGACATGCGACTTGAACTACGAAAGTCGCGACCTCGCCTATCCTTGTCGTGGGACGTTTCTCGCAGAATACGCTCTCCACCAGGACCCCTACTTTGCGACGTTCCTCTCGGGATACGCTCTCTATGGGGCTTACGGATCGCGAGCGGCTTCGATTGTAGTCACTACCTGTGGTTGACGATGAGGACGAACTCGTTCTCTTGCGGGAATGGCGTCGAACTTTTTTAAGTTTCTTTTTTAGCTTTTTCATCTCTTTCACAAGCTTCTTTGTGGTCGAATACTTCTTCTTCTTGCTGCGTCTACGCTGTTCTTCTTCGGATGAACTGGATTCCGTCGATGAATTCATTTTATTTGGAAATAAACTTTAATTTATTCGCGATACGAAGTGCAACGGAACGCACAGAAACACGTAATGACGAGAGCAGGAAGTAGAGCTAGGGCGACACCTGCAGGCGGCGCGAAAAATCTCAGGGATTTAAAATACTGTGACGGAACGAGCAGTACCACGGTACTACAAAGTAATGATCTAGAGGACGAGACAGTGAAATATAATTTTTTTTTTTAAATAATTAATTTTTAACAATTTTTGAAAATTTTGAATTTTTTCAAAAATTAAAAAAAATTATTAAAAATCATTAGATTTTGCATTTTTCAGCTATATTAACTCAATTTAACTAAAAAATAATTTTTTTTTCATAAATAATTAATTTTTAACAATTTTTGAAAATTTTGAATTTTTTCAAAAATTAAAAAAAATTATCAAAAATCATTAGATTTTGCATTTTTCAGCTATATTAACTCAATGTAACTGAAAAATAATTTTTTTTTCAAAAATAATTAATTTTTAACAATTTTTGAAAATTTTGAATTTTTTCAAAAATTAAAAAAAATTATCAAAAATCATTTGAATTTGTATTTTTCAGCTATATTAACTCAATTTAACTAAAAAATAATTTTTTTTCAAAAATAATTAATTTTTAACAATTTTTGAAAATTTTGAAAATTTTGAATTTTTTTCAAAAATTAATAAAAATGAACAAAAATCACTAGATTTTGCATTTTTCAGCTATATTAACTCAATGTAAATGAAAAATAATTTTTCTTTCAAAATTAATTAATTTTTAACAATTTCTGAAAATTTTGAAAATTTTGAATTTTTTCAAAAATTAAAAAAAATTATCAAAAATCATTAGATTTTGCATTTTTCAGCTATATTAACTCAATTTAACTAAAAAATAATTTTTTTTTCAAAAATAATTAATTTTTAACAATTTTTGAAAATTTTGAAAATTTTGAATTTTTTTCAAAAATTAATAAAAATTATCAAAAATCACTAGATCTTGCATTTTTCAGCTATATTAACTCAAATTAACTAAAAAATAATTTTTTTTTCAAAAATAATTAATTTTTAACAATTATTGAAAATTTTGAATTTTTTTCAAAAATTAATAAAAATTTTCAAAAATCATTAGATTTTGCATTTTTCAGCTATATTAACTCAATGTAACTGAAAAATAATTTTTTTTTCAAAAATAATTAATTTTTAACAATTTTTGAAAATTTTGAAAATTTCGAATTTTTTCAAAAATTAAAAAAAATTATCAAAAATCATTAGATTTTGCATTTTTCAGCTATATTAACTCAATGTAACTGAAAAATAATTTTTTTTTCAAAAATAATTAATTTTTAACAATTTTTGAAAATTTTGAAAATTTCGAATTTTTTCAAAAATTAAAAAAAATTATCAAAAATCATTAGATTTTGCATTTTTCAGCTATATTAATAAAAATTATCAAAAATTATTAGATTTTGCATTTTTCAGCTATATTAACTCAATGTAACTGAAAAATAATTTTTTTTTCAAAAATAATTAATTTTTAACAATTTTTGAAAATTTTGAAAATTTCGAATTTTTTCAAAAATTAAAAAAAATTATCAAAAATCATTAGATTTTGCATTTTTCAGCTATATTAACTCAATGTAACTGAAAAATAATTTTTTTTTCAAAAATAATTAATTTTTAACAATTTTTGAAAATTTTGAAAATTTCGAATTTTTTCAAAAATTAAAAAAAATTATCAAAAATCATTAGATTTTGCATTTTTCAGCTATATTAACTCAATGTAACTGAAAAATAATTTTTTTTTCAAAAATAATTAATTTTTAACAATTTTTGAAAATTTTGAAAATTTCGAATTTTTTCAAAAATTAAAAAAAATTATCAAAAATCATTAGATTTTGCATTTTTCAGCTATATTAACTCAATGTAACTGAAAAATAATTTTTTTTTCAAAAATAATTAATTTTTAACAATTTTTGAAAATTTTGAAAATTTCGAATTTTTTCAAAAATTAAAAAAAATTATCAAAAATCATTAGATTTTGCATTTTTCAGCTATATTAACTCAATGTAACTGAAAAATAATTTTTTTTTCAAAAATAATTAATTTTTAACAATTTTTGAAAATTTTGAAAATTTGAATTTTTTCAAAAATTAAAAAAAATTATCAAAAATCATTAGATTTTGCATTTTTCAGCTATATTAACTCAATGTAACTGAAAAATAATTTTTTTTTCAAAAATAATTAATTTTTAACAATTTTTGAAAATTTTGAAAATTTGAATTTTTTCAAAAATTAAAAAAAATTATCAAAAATCATTAGATTTTGCATTTTTCAGCTATATTAACTCAATGTAACTGAAAAATAATTTTTTTTTCAAAAATAATTAATTTTTAACAATTTTTGAAAATTTTGAAAATTTTGAATTTTTTCAAAAATTAAAAAAAATTATCAAAAATCATTAGATTTTGCATTTTTCAGCTATATTAACTCAATGTAACTGAAAAATAATTTTTTTTTCAAAAATAATTAATTTTTAACAATTTTTGAAAATTTTGAAAATTTCGAATTTTTTCAAAAATTAAAAAAAATTATCAAAAATCATTAGATTTTGCATTTTTCAGCTATATTAACTCAATGTAACTGAAAAATAATTTTTTTTTCAAAAATAATTAATTTTTAACAATTTTTGAAAATTTTGAAAATTTCGAATTTTTTCAAAAATTAAAAAAAATTATCAAAAATCATTAGATTTTGCATTTTTCAGCTATATTAACTCAATGTAACTGAAAAATAATTTTTTTTTCAAAAATAATTAATTTTTAACAATTTTTGAAAATTTTGAAAATTTCGAATTTTTTCAAAAATTAAAAAAAATTATCAAAAATCATTAGATTTTGCATTTTTCAGCTATATTAACTCAATGTAACTGAAAAATAATTTTTTTTTCAAAAATAATTAATTTTTAACAATTTTTGAAAATTTTGAAAATTTCGAATTTTTTCAAAAATTAAAAAAAATTATCAAAAATCATTAGATTTTGCATTTTTCAGCTATATTAACTCAATGTAACTGAAAAATAATTTTTTTTTCAAAAATAATTAATTTTTAACAATTTTTGAAAATTTTGAAAATTTCGAATTTTTTCAAAAATTAAAAAAAATTATCAAAAATCATTAGATTTTGCATTTTTCAGCTATATTAACTCAATGTAACTGAAAAATAATTTTTTTTTCAAAAATAATTAATTTTTAACAATTTTTGAAAATTTTGAAAATTTCGAATTTTTTCAAAAATTAAAAAAAATTATCAAAAATCATTAGATTTTGCATTTTTCAGCTATATTAACTCAATGTAACTGAAAAATAATTTTTTTTTCAAAAATAATTAATTTTTAACAATTTTTGAAAATTTTGAAAATTTCGAATTTTTTCAAAAATTAAAAAAAATTATCAAAAATCATTAGATTTTGCATTTTTCAGCTATATTAACTCAATGTAACTGAAAAATAATTTTTTTTTCAAAAATAATTAATTTTTAACAATTTTTGAAAATTTTGAAAATTTCGAATTTTTTCAAAAATTAAAAAAAATTATCAAAAATCATTAGATTTTGCATTTTTCAGCTATATTAACTCAATGTAACTGAAAAATAATTTTTTTTTCAAAAATAATTAATTTTTAACAATTTTTGAAAATTTTGAAAATTTCGAATTTTTTCAAAAATTAAAAAAAATTATCAAAAATCATTAGATTTTGCATTTTTCAGCTATATTAACTCAATGTAACTGAAAAATAATTTTTTTTTCAAAAATAATTAATTTTTAACAATTTTTGAAAATTTTGAAAATTTCGAATTTTTTCAAAAATTAAAAAAAATTATCAAAAATCATTAGATTTTGCATTTTTCAGCTATATTAACTCAATGTAACTGAAAAATAATTTTTTTTTCAAAAATAATTAATTTTTAACAATTTTTGAAAATTTTGAAAATTTCGAATTTTTTCAAAAATTAAAAAAAATTATCAAAAATCATTAGATTTTGCATTTTTCAGCTATATTAACTCAATGTAACTGAAAAATAATTTTTTTTTCAAAAATAATTAATTTTTAACAATTTTTGAAAATTTTGAAAATTTCGAATTTTTTCAAAAATTAAAAAAAATTATCAAAAATCATTAGATTTTGCATTTTTCAGCTATATTAACTCAATGTAACTGAAAAATAATTTTTTTTTCAAAAATAATTAATTTTTAACAATTTTTGAAAATTTTGAAAATTTCGAATTTTTTCAAAAATTAAAAAAAATTATCAAAAATCATTAGATTTTGCATTTTTCAGCTATATTAACTCAATGTAACTGAAAAATAATTTTTTTTTCAAAAATAATTAATTTTTAACAATTTTTGAAAATTTTGAAAATTTTGAATTTTTTCAAAAATTAAAAAAAATTATCAAAAATCATTAGATTTTGCATTTTTCAGCTATATTAACTCAATGTAACTGAAAAATAATTTTTTTTTCAAAAATAATTAATTTTTAACAATTTTTGAAAATTTTGAAAATTTCGAATTTTTTCAAAAATTAAAAAAAATTATCAAAAATCATTAGATTTTGCATTTTTCAGCTATATTAACTCAATGTAACTGAAAAATAATTTTTTTTTCAAAAATAATTAATTTTTAACAATTTTTGAAAATTTTGAAAATTTCGAATTTTTTCAAAAATTAAAAAAAATTATCAAAAATCATTAGATTTTGCATTTTTCAGCTATATTAACTCAATGTAACTGAAAAATAATTTTTTTTTCAAAAATAATTAATTTTTAACAATTTTTGAAAATTTTGAAAATTTCGAATTTTTTCAAAAATTAAAAAAAATTATCAAAAATCATTAGATTTTGCATTTTTCAGCTATATTAACTCAATGTAACTGAAAAATAATTTTTTTTTCAAAAATAATTAATTTTTAACAATTTTTGAAAATTTTGAAAATTTCGAATTTTTT